GACGCCACGGCAGCGGCGGCCTTCTGCATGGCGGCCTCGGCCTCCGCCAGTAGCAGGGCGAGCTCGCGCTCGCGGGCCTCGGCCGTGCGCACGCCCGTGCGGCAGCGCGCGGCCTGGTCCACTGCGGCCTGGTGTCGCCTGTGGGGATCCTTGCGCTCGCCTGCTGCCCTGCGAAGCGCGTCGCCCACGGTTCCTTGGCCTTCGCCTTGGCCGCCGCGGCCTGCGCGCGGGCCTCGACGACGCGCAGCGCCGCGGCCAACTCGGGGGGCACCGAGCCGTCGAGCGCCGGGCCGCCAGGGCGCTGCAGCTGGTTGGCGGCCGCCCTGCCTGCGCCGGGAACACCACCAGGCCCGCCGCGCCCTCGACAGCCAGCGTCGCCGCGAGGTCGAGGCTTGGGATGGCGCGCGGAACTGCGTCACTTTCGCGCCGCAGGGGCACCGCCAGTTTTGGGCCTCTAGCAGGTCGTCCCACTCGCAACGGCGGCAAGCCGAACAGCGGGACCAGGGGCGATGAATCGAGATCTGTTTGCGTCCGACTGAACGCGGCCGACGAGAGGCACTCCCACCCATCTCGAGAAGGTTCCAGAACCACGACCCCGGAGATCTCGGAACGCCAAAACGGCACCGCGCCGCCACCAGCTGCCGCCTGACAGCTGATGGCGCGCGGCCCCAGGAACGCCTCGCGGAGGCTCGGCGCGACCCCGCGGCCCCTCCCCAGGGGCGACAGAGCCAAAGGTTTCTTAGGAAGAAGAGGAGGAGGAGGAGGAGGAGGAGGAGGAGGAGGAGGAGGAGGAGGAGGAGGAGGAGGAGGAGGACCGCGGAACGCACGTAGCTTGAATCCACGGAGATCCAATTACCACCAGCGCTCTAACACCGCATTGCGGCGAGAGCAACGGCTCGTATTTCGTAGTGGTATACAGGCGAGGGGGCACGGGTGCCGCTCGCTTTCAATTTGTGATAGATGCGGAAATTGGCACGACAGTGTAGTGACATCGATGGCGTGGGTATTCAGACTCCATGACCGGGGAGGGGCCAAGGCCAAGACGAGGGGGCAGGCGGGAGACGGCCACGAGAGGGAACGAGGAGGTGGAGCAGGCGAGCGCACAAGAGATAATAAGACATGAAGTCGGATTCTGTACACCCGAAAACACAGCGACGAACCTGGGCGGTGGGGATGCGAGCCGACGTCGCCCAGCCGCATGCAAGCGTCTTGATGTGGGCCCAGGCCCAAAAAGGGGGAGCGTGTTCTAAGATCTGGCGAAGCGCAGCTTTGGGAACGGGTGCGCTGAGGAAGTCTGCGGATTGGGTCTCGCAGTCTCCGTGTTCCAGAACAGCTCCTCCGAAACATGGCTCCAGATACGGCGGCCTAAAAGGGGGGAGAGAATCAGGGGACAAACAGGAGGAGGGGGATCGGGCGAGTACTCGCTGCGGCCGCGGGCGGCGCGTTTCCACGCCAGCGCGCCGAATCTGTTCACGCGCCGCGGCCGTCGCTGTCCGCCGCGCGTCCCCGAGGATCCCGGGAGCATGGGACGCGGTGGGTGAGAGACTGGCACCGAATTCGCAAATGCTGGTTGGGTTCATCCAGAAGTCAATACTGAAGCGCCCCGTCACGACGCCTGGGAGACTCCCAAACATCTCAGCCTGCTCCGCCACAGTGTCGAGCGAGGCCCACCACCCACCCTCCCCGAACTCACGAAGCGCGCGAGACGCCGTGCGCCTCGCCGAAGCCGCGCGCATGCCTCGAAGCGAACGCGGGGTGGCCGAGGCTAACCAGTGACCATGGCTGAGGAGCGAGCGCAGCGAGGCCAAAAGAGTTCGGGGGAGGCGAAGGAGGCGGTGGAGGATATGACGTTCAGCGCGGAGGAGCTGGCTTCTGTAGGCGATCGAGGCAAGGCAATCCCTCGAACCCGTTCACGCCACTTGCGCGTAGGTGCCACCCACTGTGGGCGTCGAGCTCCGCCGACGGGCCAAATTGCATGCCAAGGAACTCTTCAGATCCAGCCGTCGCGACATCAGCCCATGCTGGTATGAGGATCTGGATCTGCCATCTAGTTCTGCACGTCGGCGCCCGAACACCGCTCGGCCAAGGAAACGATGGCGCACTTCGGTGGCTGCAGGGGAGAGGCCGGCAGAGGCCCGGGCGGCGTCGACGGGGGGGCGAGCAGAGGAAGGAGGCCAATCGAAGGGAGCGTCGCACCCACATCGTCGGCCGTCGCTCCGCATTCCGGCTCAAGATTTGGAGTGCGCTGGCATGGCCCCAGGCGCATCCTGCGAGCCTGCGGAAACTCCAGCTGGTCCGCAAGGTGTTTGAAGAACGGGTCCATCAACAAACTCACAAAGAACCCGAGAGGGGGCATCCCTGGGCCTCTCGGAGCCGCGCCGGGAATGGGCGAGAGCCCCCGGGTAAAGAGCGGCTATCAAATTCGTGTAGCACGTTGGCACGCGGTGCTTAGCGCGGACCAAGAAGAGGAACACCTGGGAGAGCGAGAGAAAAACAGCGCGAATGGCAAACGAAGCGAAAAAAGTGGGAGGAGGGAAGGATGGTGGCCAGCAGCTCGGGCGATCGCATCGTGGCGCAAGATGTGCGAGAGAACAGCACGGACTCAGATGAAGCCTTGTTGCGGGCCGTGGGCACGCTCAGCCAGCAGATGTGCCAGCTGCGCATTCACCGTCGCCGCCGTCGCCTTCGCGCCCGAGCTCTCCAGAGCGAGGGGTGGCAACTTCGACGCGTGGCGGGTGGCGTCCAAGATGTCCGTCGGGCCAGCGCCCGTGGGAATGAAGACCATGTCCCTAAAGTTCAGCCCCCGCGGGGCCGTCTGGTCCGCGAAAAGCGCCAGCATGAGGTCATGCAGGGCGTCGGTCAGGCGATCGCCCGCGAGCCGGGGCTCGGCCCGTAGGCGGCCAGGGCCCGGCGCCGACGGGCGGGCGCGTCGAAAGGCAGCCTGGGGCGCATCTGGCGAGGGGTCCGCCAGCCGTAGCGCGGGGAAGTCGGGGAGGTGCTGGTCGATGTACTCCCGGGCGGCCGCCTCGTCGATGGGCTGGTCGGTGAAGATTGGGCCCCAATGCCGCCGCAACACGTCCATGATAACCATCGGGTCCCTCTCCGCGGACGTCGAGTGGCCCTCGGCATCCACGAGCGCCCCCGCCAGGACAAGGCGGCGACGATACGGGGCCCACAGGTCTTGCCGCCCGCCACCCCACGCTGGCCCAGCATTTTGCTGGATGCAGTCCACCGTGGGTGCACCCCCACTTGCCGCACCTTCTGCGCTCCCACCTGGGCGGCGCGCGGCCCGCCGGCCTTGCGTTTCGTGCTCCCCGTCGGCTTGGTGATGTTTGACTTGCAGTGCCCATACTGGGCCCCGCCTTAGCTGGAAGCCTGGCGCAGCCGCCGCCTCAGTCCACGCCGACGGGATTGGCCGCGCCAGCTCGCTCTGGGGGTGATCCGTCCCCCATGGGTGGCCCTCGCCTTCCCCCCCCATGCGGCCTCCCGTTCCGTCCCGCCTCCTCCTATTGCACGCTGGCGAATTCGCCACAACGGAGCCCCCATGTAGTTAGCTTCTTCCGCCAGCGCAGACGACCCTTGCCTAGCCGCCGACGCAAAAAATGTGTGTGCGCCTTTGTGTGAGCATGTATGTGCTTGCTGCGCTTCAGTGGCCCGCGAACTGTCAACATGCGTGAGAGCGTGTGGGTTGGTGCATCGGTGGCTTGCTTTCCCTCCCTCCTTGTCTCCCTTTGCGGCCTGGCCCGGCACCTCCTAGAGGAGGCATGCCGCCATTCCGCCTCGCATCCCACCCGGCTGCTGCGAGCGCTTCAATCTGCATCCGCTGCTCGGCTGCACGGGTCGGCACGCGCGTCCTGTGCCCCAGCCAGCCCGCTCGCCTGCTTCCTCGTCTCCTTCCTGCGCACCGCCAGCTCCCGGCTTGGGCAAGTCCTACGGCAGTTCCGAGCATTGGGCTGCTCTGCCCGTCATCTTCCTGAACCGGCCGCCGCTAACCGATTCTGCCGTCTGGTTGCATGGGTCGCGCATGCCACGCGTTCCCAGGCCAGCTCGCTCGCATGCTCTGTATTCCTGATATTGTGGCTTGCGCGCCTGCTGCCTCGGGCTCTCTTCCCGCGCGTCGGATGCCACACGTGGGCGCCCCCTGGTCGGACTGAACCTACCCCCCTTTCCAGGTTTGGTCGTTCGTTGTCGCCGGTCTTTCTGGCCTGTCCCAGCTTCGACCTCTTCTTGCCACTCCGTCGTCGTCGTCATCGTTTTCCTTCCTCCTCCTCTCGGCTCCGCTTGGCTTCCCTCCTACAGACGCAGTATCATCACTTCCAAGCCGCACCTGCCATGTCCGTTGTTTGGCACTCGTGTTGCCTGTTCTCACCTGCTTGCTGTTGCCCGTCCCTCACCTGGGAGAACGCGGTCTCCACATGACCGCATTCGCCAGACACGCGTCCTCGACCAATCGTTGCTACAACGCTGCGGGGGAGGAAAAGTGTGTGTGTGTGTGTGGGACGGGCCAGGAGGGCCACCGAAAAAGACGATGAACCCAACGCCTCACACGTGACGCTGGTGTCAATTAAGATGATGGGGGCGATGATGCGCGATTTACTGGCGATCGTCAACAGCAAGATCTGACATCATGTGCCCCCGGGCCGATTATGTTTGATGGTTGTGCTTGTGCCCCCCCGTCGTATCGATGTTCAGCCTCTCCCCTAGGCCCGCCCCCTGGAATCCACGAGGATTATCCCCTTCCAACCCCGGGCCGGTTCTGACTGCAGACCCCGAGCCTGCCGATGTGCACTTCCAATTGCAAAATCGGAAGTGAAAAGGCCAGCGGCAGGCAGAGACGATATCCATGTTTGTTGCGCATCCGACATGCACTTCTTATATTTAGCGCAAGCCAAGGTTCTTTGCTACTGCAGTTTGCCAAGCACACTGCGCAACGCATCCCAATCCTAAACTTGTGCATCACATCGCTTCCACTAAGCATTCGAAGAAATGGAGCCGGTCGCCTCTCTCAACAGCGGGATGGGGCCACGGTACCTGCCACAATCAGAGACACTTCCCGCCGCTGGCACCCACTGCCACAAAACAGATCATTATCTCTGCCACTGCCGTCTGCATGCCTCGATCCTGGTGCTGAGCGCCCCATCACCCGATTAGTTCTTTCGATTGCGCATCCTGGAAACAGCTGCTGAGCCAAGCCACCAACCAGCAACCAGCAAGCAGAACACCATGCTGTCAAATCTACGCATCTGCCCTTGGGCGCATTCCGGCGACCCCTCTCCACCAACACCTCAATCTGTCATACGTACGGCTCATGCTGCTCTACTCTCCCCTCCACCCAGGCCTGACACGTGCGGATGCGCACCCGCCACTCCCGCACATGCGGGCGTCATAAAGGATCTCCTAGGTACGACCAAATGCTTGTTCCAATCGGATCGTCTTCGGCCTTTGGCGTTACTTGTTTGCCTCGGCGCCTGCTCCCCCGGGGGTTTTGGAGAACGAGGACAAGACCACGACGCCCTCCAACTCCTCCCTCCTCTTCCGTGATTATCTTCCCCCTTTCACCTCACTCCCCCCTTTTCCGACTGTTCCTTGTTAATGGTCGTGCTCCTCTTCCTGTTTCGTCGACGTCGTCGTTGTCATTGTTCTCATGGTCATATGTCTTCCTATCCATCCGTTTCCGTCTGCTCTTTGTGCCTCTATGTCCTCCTCCTCCTCCTCCTCCTCATCCTTCTCCCTCCGTTTCCTCTCCCCCTCCCCCGCTGCCCCTCCTAGCTCCCTCCACCTCCGATTCCCTGTCCCTTCCTTTACCATTTCCTCTTCTGCCCTACGATGGAGGAGCTTTGGGACCTCGGCATGAGTTTGCTGGTTTCGTGCATGTCACTGTTTGATTGTGCGGGTCTGCTGCCCATCCAAACGTCACTGGACCTCCCTACGCGCCTCCTAGTCCAGTGTGGACCCCATCGCCCAAGCATCGTGGACCACGGGCCAGTCGATTCCACATGCCGTCTGGGGATCAATGTCCTCTTCGGCGCCAAGAGAACTCAATGCAATCGAAAGTTACTGAATGGGGGGGTACGATAGCAAATATGGCGCGAGTGCACCTAATTTGCTCTCACCCCTCTCCTCTTCCCTCATGTCCTCTGTCTCCTCTCCGCTCTTGCCCTTTTGGATCCTTACCCTTTCCACTACTGCACCCGCCCAGGGGCAGGTGGGAAAGAGAGAGAGAGAGAGGAGAGAGAGAGAGAGAGAGAGAGAGACAGGAAGAAAGAGACTGCTGGATGAAGAAGTCCTGAGACACGGGGAATGCGAGGGGCGGCAAGGAACCCCCAGAAGGGGCGCCTGTCTTGTGGCAGAAACGTGGAGCTCGCCGGATCGAGCTTGGTGGCACCCAGATGCTGACAGGTGTGGAGCAGCTCCTCACTCCGAGTGGCCAAGAGGGGGGGGAACTGCTTGAGCCGATCAGGAGGGTAAAAACGGATGGTGAGGGGGAGGAAGAAGCAAGAGGGGGGAACGGAGGAAAGAGAGGAGAGGGAGGGGCTGTAGAGGGAAAGAAACAGAGAGAGAGAGGGGGAGAGAGAGAGAGAGAGAGAGAGGAAAACAACAACAAAAAGACATCGAGGGGAGAAGGGGGAGGCGACAGACGACAACGAGCCGCGGCCCCACCCAACATTGATGACAAAACCGAAGAGTAACGCCTGAAGAACGCTAGTGTGTCACATTGCCGTTCCGCAGTTTGCGCCACACGGCCAGCAAGCTCGTGGAGCAAAGCAAGCAAATTGTCGCGGCAAGTGCACGCAGCAATACGACGGCATATCCAGCAATCGATGGACCACATATCGCGGGTGCACGGGTCTCCCGACCACACTCGCTCCGATGTGGCATAGGCGCCCAAGTCGTGCGCTGAAATGCACTGCAAATTTCGTGGCTGTGCAGGATCCGCCCAAGTGCGGCTCCGAGGCGGCAGCGCATTCCTCAATGTCCTGCGGAGAGACTCTGGAATTCATTTCCGCAGGCGTGTGAGTTCGACAGCGTCCATGTAAGACTACGTATGCGCATTATACACTGACCCACATGTGTGCGCGAGAATCGCAGTCAGGTCGAGCCTATAATGTGTGTATATCGAGCGCGACCGCATATGCAACATATCGAGGCATAATTCAAACCACCCTCCAATGTAGCCGAGGTTTGTTCTGGACAGGAGGCGCATAACGGACATAGTCAACTAATTACTGAAATCCACCAGCCCCCAATCGCCGTAACGAAATCACATCCGTAGAACTTCGGGATGTCCTGGGATATGTAAACGTACTAGGGCTCAGCGCCATCGAGACCACGATCCCTCGCAACAAAAAACGGACCCGCGCATTCGAAGCCACGATCCCCTGTAAAAGCACAGTGGGCCCGCGCCTTCAAAGCAACGATCCTTAATAGAAACTTTGAGCGAGCGCTTGCGAGGCTACACTTCCGCGTACAATAACAGAAGCTGTGGAACCGAGCCTTCGATGCTACGGCGTATACGGTCCTTCATGGACAACAGTGGGCCCGCGCCTTCGAGGCCACGATGCCGTGTAGCAAAACTGTGGATCCGCGCCTTCGGTGCTACGGCCCCTCTCAGAGACCTGAGGGCCCTTACCTTCGAGGCCACGACCCATTGTAAAAAATAGGTCCGCGCTCCCGAGGCCACGATCCCTTACAAAAACAATGATCCACACTGCGGCGCAACGATCCACAAAAACAAAACACGGGCCCGCGCCTTCAAGACCGTGAGCCAATTTAAAACATACCGAGCAAAGGACCCACCCACATGTGGGTGCGAGTACGGCAAGACAGGCGGTACGAAGGAATGTCCATGCGGCCACGAAACGTGTGAGGTGTGTGCCGAGATCGGCGCCGGGCCGCCCTGCGAATCCTGCCACTGGGGCCGCCGGTGGAACCCCCCGACAGCCATGTAGCCAGCCTTCCAAGTAGCCATCAAGCCTGCCAGCCGACCCTTCACCAAACCAACCAGCCTGCCAACGTGCCAACTTCCCATCCACAGCCAGCCAAACAGCCGAGTTGCCAGCCTATCAACCAACCAGCCAACCAACCCAATGGACCCACCGATGCAGGCAGTCAGAGGGGCGGGTCGAGCGGCAGATGGCGAAGCCTTACAGACATGCAACGGTGACCACATGCTTTGCGGCAAACGCACGGGGGGACTAGGACGACTCACAAGGAAACGTCCTTCGGTAGCTCGGAGGCATCGATGCCGAAATCCTGGCGCGCGCCCTTAAACGATTGGCTCGCTGCTCAGAAGAGTAATGGGCGAACCATGACAGTGGACACATACAGAGCAATCTGCAGCCAACCGATGAGAGCAAAGTGGCTAAGTACGAACCGCATACAAAAACATCAAGCAACACGCGTAGACATTGACGGACCAACCGCTGAACGACAGGTGGAACGTACTAGGCGACCTGAATCGAGCACTGGCTATCTTGCCTACTCTAGAAGGCTGTCGAGTCCGAGCTGCCTGCTTGCCCACTCCGAAAACAAATCGCCAGCGGGGCCTTGAGGACTGGGACCTCTGAATACGCCAACAGCTCCAATGCCCTCGCTTACAAGGCTCTGATGTCGCTTGTGGCATGTCGCGCCCCCGCTGCCTCATCTCTCGTACCTCGCCTCCTCCTCCGCCTCTTCCGTATCCTTGTCAGAGTCCTTGAGTTTTTCCTGCCGCCGCTGCCTCATTATCCTTTTGTCCCAAGCCCTACGTGCGCGGCGTCAGCATTCGCCTGAAACGCACTGACCCCCTCTGCCTGTTTTTCCCAACCATCCTGTGGTGTTGGGTCCTCGCTTTGAAAGGAGATACCCGCGACTCCTCCTCTTCCTCCTCCTCCTCCTCCTCCTCCTTCTCCTCCACCTCCTCCACACTTCTTCCTCCTCCTCCTCCTCCTCCACACTTCCTCCTCCTCCTCCCCCTTCTCCTCCTCCTCCCTCCTCCCTCCTCCTCGTCCTCCTCCTCCTCCTCTTCCTGATCCTCCTCCTCTCCTCCACTCCTCTTCCTCCTCCTGCTACTTCTGCTTCTCCTGCTACTGCTGCTCCTGCTCCTGCTCCTCGTCCTCTCCTCCTCCTCCACCCCCTCCTCCTCCTGTTCCTCCTCCTCCTCCTCCTCCTCCTCCTCCTCCTCATCATCATCATCATCAGCATCATCTTCCTCATCCTCTTCCTCCCTACTCCAATCGCTCCCCCTCACTTCGGCACACCCCTCAAACGTTTCGTGACCCCGAATGGGGCCCCCACCGAACGCCCGAGCGCCAGCGCTCGCATGTGCCCATCGCACCCATTCCGGCACACCCCTCACATGCTCCGTGTCCCCATACGGAGCTCCACTGAAGGCCCAAATGCCAGCGCACCGCACCCATGCCCGCACAACCCTCAAACGCTTCGTGGCCTCATAAAGGGGCTCTGCTGAAAACTCACGTGCCAGCGCTCGCACGCGCCCACCGCGCCTATCTGGGCACACCCCTCACGCGCTCCGTGGTCCCATAGGGAGCTCCACCGAAGGCCTACATGCAAGCGCTCGCATGCGCCCACCGCACCGATTCCGGCACACCCTCACACGGTTCGTGGCCCCATAAGGAATCCCACCGCATGCTCCAAGTGTAGGGTCCGCAAGCCGCCACCGCGCCTATTTCGGCACACCCATCACACGCTCCGTGGCCCCATAGGGAGCTTTACCGAAGACCCAAATGCCAGCGCTCGCATGCACCAACCACGCCTATTTTGGAACATCCATCACGCGCGTCGTGGCCCCATAGGGAGCTCCACCGAAGGCCAAAATGCCAGCGCCCGCATGCGACCACCGCGTCCATTGGGGCACACCCATTCAGGCGCTCTGCAGCCCCAGAAGGAGTGCACAAAACGACGGTGCCCACAACTGCATCTGGTTGGGTCCTTCGCCAGGCGAATTTCCTCGTCCCTCCTTCATCTGCCATTTACCCCTTTACCCCTCCTGTGCGCGCCCCAGCGCAGGAGCGGCAACAAACCACACACAAACACTTTTCAGTGGGCGGCGCAGAGGAGCCTCAGGCGCGGTCGAGAGGCGGAGGTGCCAATCGCGAGCGAACCTAGCCGAATGCGCCAGGATGAAAACGTCCAGTCAAGGCCGCACGGATAGGTGGTGAAAAACATGAGGCGCTGTAAAAACAAATTGCAGCGGCCAACAAAACAAGGAGCAGAAGACTCGTTAGCTCCACCGGCGGTGCGTCCCAAAAATTGGGGTTTCTTCGGAATTGAAAAAAGATCAATCCCCCCTTCAATATTAAAATTCCCAACCTCCTAGATGGGGAAACCAAAAGTGGAGTTGTCAAACTCCGGATTGACAGATTGACCTTTCCCAATCTTGGGGTTCAATATTGAGGTCTTGATCCAATATCGGGGCTCCAACCTCGATATTGGGGTTTCCGAAACCCGATGTTGGGGTTTTTCAATTCCAGGGTTGGGAAGGTCTAGTATTGGACTTCGATTGGACTGCGAAAGAGGAGGTTAGAGGCATATTTCCTCCTCCTCCTCCTCCAACTCCTCCTCATCCTCCTCCTCCCTCCTCCAGTTGCTGCCGATCTTCATCGCTTAAATCCACGCCCTCCCAAAACAGTCACCAAGAGGCTCCGGTGACTGATTTGGGCCGAGCGCCCGTGGCGAAAAAGATCGTCCTCCTCCTCCTCCTCCTCCTCCTCCTCCTCCTCCTCCTCCCTCCTCTGGTTGGTGCAGATCTTCATCGCTTAAATCCACGCCCGCCCAAAACAGTCACCAAGAGGCTCCAGTGACTGTTTTGGGCCAGGTGCCCGTGGCGAAAAAGATCGTCCTGGGGAGGTCCTCCCGCCAGCTGTGTCCGACTTTAAAGTCCCGCTCGCCCGACCCGGCGCTCGCCCGACCGACCGGCCCGCTAGGGCAAGCGCGTGCTACTTTGAGAGCTGTGTCAACCTTTAACGTCCCGCCCGCCCGACCCGACCGGCCCGCTAGAGGAAGCGCGTGCTACCTCGAGAGCTGCGTCAACCTTCAAGGTCCCGCACGCCCGACCCGACCGGCCCGCTAGAGCAAGCGCCTGCTACCGCGAGAGCTGCGTCGTGCTTTAATGTCCCGTCCGCGGGGGTCCGCCCCGCCCAAAACCGTCACCCAAGGCACTTGGTGACTGTTCTGGGCGGGCGGGCCCAAAACAGTCACCAAACACCTCGGGTGACTGTTTTGGGCGGGACGTGCTTTTCATGCTACGGCCTCCTCCTCCTCCCCCACCTCCTCCCTCACCCCCAGTTCCCCTGGGAAATGCGAGCTTTTCCCTTTTCTCCTCTGGCCCGACCTACGGCCTCGTAAGTTCAATATTGGAGTTCAAACCCCACTGTTGGGTTTGAAACCCAAGATTCAGCTAAAACTCAATATTGAGAATTAACTTTCAATATTTCAATATTTCAATTCTGGAGTCCAGAACTGAACCTTTTCAATATATTTCAATTTGGGGCTTCCAACTCCAATATTGAAGTGGCGGCGGCCGAATTCAATTCCGAGGCTTTGAACTCAAATACTGAGGTCGCCGATTGAACATTTCAATTTTCAATCGGCCGGGGACCCACCCAGAGATTGGTTACGAAACCTCGACTCGAAAAAAATGAAGCGCCAGCAGCAGTCGGGTGCTACTTGGTGCCACTGAATCATCGGAAGGATGTTGAGCAGTGAAGAGGCAGGGTGCAAGCCTACGCATCGGCGACGCCCGAAGCATTAGCATAAATGGCTGCACTAGGTAGGTGGTGACGGAGCAGCACTCGTAAAGACCGCGCTGACAAATCCGAAACCAACCAGATGAAGGCACGCCGTGAAATCGTTGGTGGTTCGCCGCGCCACCAAAAGAAGCCAGTGTCGGTGACGCGCCCAGGCTGGCCGAACTGAAGGCTGCAATAAAAGCGCCGACCAACATAAATTGGTAGGGTGCCGCGCGAGCGGCGCAGGTGAAGACGCGAGGTGCACTGTGCGCAACGAACGTCTAGGTCGCCGCCAAATCGACCAAGGACGTCTCAGACAAGACGCGGAAGGCGCCGCGAGGCACGCGGCAGGCCGAGATGAAGGGCCTACGCCGATCGTAAAGAAGAACACCACGTGCAGGACAGACCACGGCGGTGGCAGACGCAAGGAAACCACCCCAAGTGGCCCACCGACACGGAGCCACGAAACCCGACCAAGCGCGAGCAGCACAGGGGGGCCCTGGAGACGCGGCTCCAGAAAGAATAGCTCCAGGCGCTGCAAAAACCTCAGCCCCCGTGGGTGGGACGACCCGGAAGGAGGGGGGGAGGGGGGAAGGAGCAAGCAGGGCAGAGGCAGAAGGGTGGCCCAGAAAAACGACGGCGGGGAGCCCCGCGACACGGAAGAGCCCGCGACCGACGACGGCGGCGACCGAGCGAACCCCGCGACCCACGAGGAGGAGGCAGGGACCGGCGAGCCACCGCGGTGGGAGCGCCGCCGGAGGGTGGCAGGAAAGCCACGCTACCTCCGACAGAAGACCGAACGCCACGGGGCCTAAGGCCGGGAGTGGCGGAAGCAAGGGCGAGGTAAACACGGCGAAAATTAAGGGCGAGAGAGCAGCGCGCGCCCAGAGCGACTAATCGGTGAGTAACGGGGAGCAGTAGGCGACTCATTGGTGGGTGGCGCGAGCGACTGGTCGGTGTGTGACATGGCAAACAAAGGCGGTCGGGCCACCAGGGCTGGCTCGACACAAACGCTGATGCAGTCGGGGGCGCTCCTGGGGGTGCCGGCGACGCCGCCGAAACCAGCTGGGCTGCCGCCTCGACCGCCAGGGGGGCTGCCAGAGGGCACACGTGGCCGGGGTGCGTTTCGACTCACAAAACGCAAGGTTCCGCCCAAAATGGTCTTGCCCCCCACGTCGGACGATTTTGGCGCCGAGGCTCTTTCGTGACGAGGAAATTGCTCCTCGCCGTGGCTGTTGTCAACAAAAAACTACGCGGCAAGCTTTTCTGGGCGGCGGCCGCCCCGACTGGGCCATCACGTGGTACAGCTGGCGCCACAGCCATGTCTCTTTCACTCTGTCTCTCTCTCTCTCTCTCTTTTTCTCTCTTACTCTGGGTCTTCCGCACGTGCTCAACTGACTGTCCGCTGGGATCTCTGTGCGCTTGGCCAGCAGATAAGCAATTCGATTATACCTCTGTCGATCTTCTACTCCTCTTGTCATTCCTCTCCTCTTCTGTCACTTCCTCCTCTTCCTTATCTTCCTCGTGCTTCTCCTCCTCCTCCTATTCCTTTTCCTCCTCCTGTTTGTCCTGGCGGTCGTGCCCGTACTCCTTATCCTCTCATCCTGATTCCATCCTGCTGACTGTGCCGATGCTCGTGCTCGTACCCCCGCTCTCGTTCCGGCTCTGGTTCTGGATCCTGCCCCGCCGCCTCTTCATCCGCAGCTGGCCAACGGTAGGTCCTCGATCTGCGAGACACCGTCGGCCACTCCCTGACACTCCCCTTCCCAGAGGACACGCGCGGGAGAGCTGTGGGGCGCTCTCGTGACGCAGAGCACGATCGGTGTGCTCGAGGTGCGAGCCGAGAAGCTACCACAAGTAGGTGCGAAACCGACTGACGAGCATCAGGATGGGACGCCGATTTGCTCTTGGGCAGTTTGGCGTTCACTCGAAATCTGCCCTGCAGAATTCATCGCCCTCCGAACTAGCCAGGACCGATTCGGGTCAGCAAATTCAGGTCGCAGTCAATGACTTCTGGCCCCCTGTAAACGCTGTTCCTGAATTACTGCGAGTGGTGCAATGTTGCTGGGGCGTGCTAGATCGATGCGCAAGGCTATGCGAACGCTCGATGAAAAGTGCTGTGCGCGCGCGTAAAGCTAGCACATACGAGGCTGAATTGTGGCGGATCTCGATTTGTTCTGGGATTCTCGCCGTTCCATTATTCCGACACTCGAGAACTGCAGATCAGAAGCCGGTCGGTGAATGTGAATACGTGCCACCGTCGACTCCAAATAGAAATTACAGAAATCGAATACGATAGTCAATGAGATGCCCTTTTCCTGCCAAACTCCGTTCTGACGCCTGGCCCTCACTGCCCCATCCAAGCCACCCGTGTCCACCAGTGTTCGCACAGATGCACCAGAGCCTTTGGACTGCTCCCGCTGCAGGCCAGCAACGCCGCCCACCTCGTCAGGTCAAGCATGATCACCGACCGATTGGACCTCCACGACGTGGATGACGAAGGCAGCGCTCTCGTTACCGAGGTTGATGCGGCATGGGGCCGCGTGTGCAGGGTGCCACCCAGGAGACTCGGAAATGACCCCGATCGCAGGTTTTGGACGGCCCCACGGAACCCGGCTCAGCGAAAGAGCAGGAGGCGAGATGCGACGGCTGTCCTCTGCGACACGCCAAGTCAGCGCCGGGCAAGCCTTTCTACTGTTGCGCGCCGACCGCCCGACAGCCGGCTGGCTGACGGTCGGAACGGGATGCATTCCCTGCCCAAGAGTCACCGACCGAGCAGTGTCGCGCTCAGGTCGTAAACGGGGGGGAAGTCTCAAGCGAAAGGCCAAAACTGGCCCAATGACACAATTGATGGCGCCATTGGGAGGAGGTGTTCTGAAGAAACCGGGATGAAGGATGCGAGACATCAGGCGGACGCGCGCGACATCGGCCTCAGGACGCCGAGGATTTGAAAGGCGGGGGAGCGTCCTCAGGTCCGTTCGAGCTCCCTGCAATAAATGTTGTAAATGCTACTTCAGGGGCCGAGGGCGGAAATTCACGGGCTCTCTTGGGCGTTCCGGAGTGGAGCGCCCGGCAGCGCCTGGGAGCGCGGGCCTTCGGTGGAGCTCCCTGTGAGCCACGAAAGATGTGAGGGGGGTGCGGAAACGGGAATGTCGCCCAAATGCGGGCTGCGCCACCGGGACCGTAGGTGGACCTCCCTGTCGGGCCACGAAACATGTGAGGAGACAAATCGCCCACATGCGACGCTACTGGGCCTTAGGTGGAGCTCCCTGTGGGGCCAGGAACTGTGTCATGGGTGTGCCGAAACGGGGGTGTCGCCCACATGCGAACGGTGCCACTTGGGCCTTGGCTGGAGCCTCCAAGGCAAAGCGTTCCCTGACAGGCCCCAAGAGGCTCGAAGAGGCCTCCAAAGCCCTCAAGCGATCCCATGAGGCCCCGAAGAGGCGATCTGAGGCCACCAGAAGTCCTCAGGAAGCCCTCAGAAACTCCCAAGAGGCCCTCGAGGAGCCTCCTTGTATCTTTCGTACATGTCCTCCATGTCCTGTGGTGTTGGGTCCTCGTTTTTACAGACGGCGCCCCGCGTTCCCGCTCTTCCTCCCCCTCCTCCCTCCTCCCATCCATGCCTCTGCCCTCCGCATGTCTGTGTGTTCGGCGCACCCAGTGCAACACTTCGTTGCCCCGTAGGGAGCTCCAACGAAGGTCACAACGGCAGGGTCCACATGGCGGCGCCGCTCCATTTTGGCGCACCCGTCACACGGTTCGTGGCCCGACAGGGAGATTCACCGAAGGCCCAAGTAGCAGGGTCCACATGGCGGCGCCGCTCCATTTTGGCGCACCACTCACACGGTTCGTGCTCCCAGAAGGAGCTCCATCGAAGGCACGACTGGCAGAGTCCACATGGCGGCGACGCCCCATTTTGGCGCACCCCTCACGCGGTTGGCCCCATAAGGAGCTCCACCGAAGGCCCTACTGGCAGGGTCCACATGGCGGCGCCGCCCCAGTGTGGTGCCCCTCACACGGTTCGTGTCCCCGTAGGGAGCTCTACCGAAGGCCCCAGTAGCAAGGTCCACATGGCGGCGCGGCCACATTTTGGCGCACCCCTTACACGGTTCGGCGCCCCATAGAGAGCTCTTCCGAAGGCCCTGCTCAGGCTCCACATGGCGGCGCCGCCCCATTGTGGCGCACACGTCACAAGGATCGTGGACTCGAAGGGATCACCACCGAAGGCCCTAGTGACAGGGTCCTCATAGTGGCGCCGCCCAATTTTGGCGCACCCCTCACACGGTTCGTGGTCCCATAGGGAGCTCTACCGAAGGCACCAATGGCAGGGTCCACATGGCGGCGCCGCCACATTTTGGCGCACCCCTCACACGGTTCGGCGCCCCATAGAGAGCTCTTCCGAAGGCCCTGCTCAGGCTCCACATGGCGGCGCCGCCCCATTGTGGCGCACCCGTCACAAGGATCGTGGACTCGAAGGGATCACCACCGAAGGCCCTAGTGACAGGGTCCTCATAGTGGCGCCGCCCCATTCTGGCGCACCCCTCAGACGGTTCTTGGCCACATAGGAAACTCCACCGAAGGTCCCAATGGCGGAGTTCGCACGGCGGTGTCGCCCATTTGGCGCACCCCTCACACGGGTCGTGGCCCCGTAGGGAGCTCCACCGAAAGCGGCGCCACAGGATGGTATTCACTATTGCACATGATTGGGTCCTTCGCCAGGATACTTAAAGCTGGCCTTGTGTTCAGTGTGGCGCGCCAACGCGTCGAATTTGTCTAACAAAGCAGCTTCCTTTATATGCAATGGCTCACACTTGTTTAGCACACATTCCCGCACTGGTTGGGTCGTCCGACACGTCTCTGGGGGAGTAGAGCTCAGAAACTATTGATTGAAGCCGCCCGGTCTCGTTCGCGATTTGTTTTGGCTGTTTCGCTCGGGACATCTTCATGATTCCGAAAGCCGATCGCACCACACCCCTCATGCAGGTCGCGACGTCAGAGTTCAAGAATATGTTTGTTGTTCTACACCACAATATGAACATCGACCGTTCACCTAAATACACTTGATGATTGCGAGTTGGCACGTCCTTGTTAGACAGCGCATATATTCCACGGGTCTCCTGCGTGATTCTTCAACATGGGATCACCGATTGAACCACAATGGAATCTGTCATTGTTGCGCGAAGCTGTAGAGAATCATGCGTGTTTCTTTGCATTCCAATGTCGTTCTCCAACTTTGCTCGAACCTCTGTTGTCCCATGCTTACAAACGTGTTTATCAACAATTCGTTTGTTCGCATGTTGTGGCAACCCCATCGGTTGCCCCCCATTGCTTTTTGTATGAGCCTGGGCGCGCACGTGCCAATTGTGCGTCTGTACGCATGCCCTGGGTAGCCCGACGGTTCCTCACCCTCCTCGCTCAGGAAGGGCTCGGGGCACTTGGGCTGCGGTCCTTCATATCCACTTCCACTGCGTGGTGCCCTCGAAAAAGCCCCTAGCGCAACTTCTGGACCCATTCCTGCCCGACTCCTGCTCTCCAATCCTGCTCCATTCGTGCCCCATTCCTGGTCCATCGCCCATTCCTGCCCCATTCCCTCCCTCCAGGATCATGGGCGACTCCATCGTCACCTCAGAAGCACTCCCCGATGCTGGCTGACTCCGTTCCCGATCCATCCCAAACCGCGGGGCACTCCGTCGACGGAGAACCCGATCGCCCACTCTGATCCCGATCGATCGGCACACTGGTGATCCTACGGCCCGATGGAGCCCGATGCTTTCATTACCTCCATCCCGTTGCATGCAAGCCGTGGCATATACATGTGTGTAGTTCTGTCAGCCAGCGTGGACCCAAACCGATGCGGCTCTATCAACTCATGCTGTGCAATGTGTGTGGCACAACCCGATGTGGTGATGCAATCTACGTGGTGCAATCCATGTTGTGCAACTGACTATAGCAAACGAATTGACACATCCCGCGCTCTTGCAAACACCCCACCCACCCACCCATCCGCAACCTGGTTTGCAAAACCCAAAAGGTTGCGATTGCGATGCATGCTCGGCGTTGGCTGGTGCGTCTCTGCGGCCGCGCCGACCTAAGCACGCGCGCGCAGCGGCCAGCTGGTCTGGAGCGACCGACGCGGCCGCGGTGGCGCTGATCGTTGGGCACGTACCTGCGGGCTTTTCATTGCGAGTCGGCGACTTGGGCGGGCGCGGTATCATGGCAACGTCGACAACGGTGGACGTTGCGGACGAGTCTCCAACGACTCCGACGACAACGACAACGACGACGACGACAACACCGACGACGACGACGACGACGACGGCGCCGACGCTGACGCCGCCGCCGCCGACGACGACGCCAACGACGACGACGACGGCGACGACGACGGCGAAGACGACGACGACGACGACGTCGCCAACGAAGACGACGACGAGGGAGGAGGAAGGACGACGACGGCGACGACGACAACGACTAGGGAGGAGGGAGGACGACGACGACGACGACGACGGAATAGGGGGGACAACGACGAAACGCCGACGAAAACGACAAGGGAGGAAGGACGACCACGGCGACAACGACGACGGAAACGACGACAACGCCAAGACGACGACAACGACGACGAGGAAAGACAGAGGACGACGACGGCGACGACGACGAGGAAGGAGGGAAGACGGCGACGACGACGACGACGACGCAAGAGCGCGCGCGCGCACGCTTTTGTTGAAAATCCGTGTTGCGGAACCTTGTGTTTTTGTATGTTTTGTGGACGCACGGTTTTGAAATCCTTCCGAAACCGCAGGTTTTTGACAGATTTCGGCATGCGCGAGCGACGACGCGCGCGTCTGCACTTCGTCCCATTTGTTGCAGAGGGTTCTCGCGACGGCACGCGCGCACGGGCGTTCGAAAGATTTCGACATGCGTGCGCGCGAGCCCCGTTTTGCACTATTCTTTGAACATATTGAAAAACCGATGGTGTTCGTAAAATGTTGCAAGAGCGCGCGTAAGCTTCTTTAGGAAATCCGTGTTGCGAAACCCTGTGTTTTTGTATGTTTGTTTTGGAAACTCGATTTTGACATCCTGCCGAAACCACCGGCTTTTGAGGGATTCTGGCATGCGCGCGCGACGACGCGCGGGTGCGCACTTCGTCCGATGTTTTTTTTTGCAAGGGGCTCTTGACAATTTAACATATATGAGAAACGAATGCGCGCGAACAATACTCTTTTGCAAAGGATGGCGGGGGGGGGGCGATACCGGTTTGGCGGGGATACTCGGAATTCACAATTAGGATGGACACTTGGGGCAGAATCATATGAAATTGCGATACGAAAACGTGGCCCGTTAACTCTGGGGGGGGGGTAGGGTCTATTCTTCTTTTGGAGAGGAGAATATACGTTATCCAACCTGCGTTGTGAGGCTGAAGTGGCGCGATCTACAAGGTACAGTGCATGTTGTGGCTGTCTGACACAAGGATTCCGTTGATGGCGACCCTGCAAAAGGATTCCGTTTGCGGCGGACTTGCAAGAGGATTCCCTGAGAAGCGCGCAAGACGTTGAAGAGAAGGGAAACGCGGCGCCACCCTCATCCAGCTTCTTCCCGACAGACCACGCTCCAGCTCAGCCATCATGTCCAGGCTGGAGCGATGTCGACGACGAAGCGGCCGCCTGCGACGTTCAGGCGGCATCCGAGCAGGTCGATGCCCGACCGCGCTTCGTCCACGCATGTAGCCGAGTTGCGCGCAACTGACAAAACCGCTCCACTGACAGCCAAGGTAAGGTTCCTGGCCGCCAAGGCAACGGCCCCTCCTGCTCCCGCCGCGTCCTCCACCGGGCTGGCCGCAGCGTCGCCCCCCCCGGTGATATTCGGGAACAAGCTCGCAGGGGAGATAACCAAGAGGGCAACTGGGACGGTGAGCGGGAAGAAACAAGGACCAAGGCCAGGCCTCACCCACTTACAGAAGCTTGCAATCATCCTGTACCGGCCGCCTCTGGCCACTCTCGCCGCTGTAGGCCGCCAGACACCAACGCGAGAGTGTCCAGAAGCGGCCAACCGCTGTAGGCCGCCTCTGGACACTCTCGCTGGGGCGGCGACAGAGCCATGTCACCAACGAGACGCTTGCCAAAGTGCCGCGGAATGTTCGCGACACGGGCATCCCAGACGCCATGGGTGCCAGCGCGCGTCGGCGCCAGCGCAAGGGCAGATGCAATTAAAGATCACCGTTTGGGATTTTAGCTGACGTTGTGCCAATTCAGATGGAAAGAGGCGAGACGTTTGACGTCCCCACGCAGAATCCAGCGGCGTTCTTGCACGTCGCATGCAGGGATTCCATCGAGTTCAGAAATGCCACGGCGGGGACGCTGTCTCGCCGCGGTAACAAAGTGCTGTTTATCCTCTATCCAGACGAAGTGGCTCCAGGACAGCAGCTCAAGGCCCGCAATGATAGGAAGACGCGCGCCGTGTACTGGTCGCCCACCGATTGCCCCATCCCTGCTCTGAGCTGCGAGGGCGCCTGGCTCGCGTGGGCGACTTTGAGGGCGATGGAAGTTAACGATGTTGGTGGAGGCCTCAGCCACGCGTTCAAAGTTCTATTTGAAACTGTGCTCCTCCATCCCCGTGATACGAGGCGCGGCGCGTCAATTGACTCGGGATTCGCTGCGCCTGTGCTCTTGTTCGGAGATGCGCAGTGCATGGTGCGGAATTTGCTGACCCACCAACGGTCGACCCTTTGCAAAGACCACGCGGGCCACAAGGTGTGTCCGCTGCGTTGCGACGTCGTGGGTCTTCGGTGCCCGTGGTGCCCGACGCGACGGGCTGGCTGCAACCGATGAATTCGCTGGAATTGCATTCATTTCAGCTGCGCACCGACGCAACGGCCCTTGGCACTCTCAAGCGCCCCCAAGATGTCGCACGCGGAACTGCAGCGGGAAACTTGGAAGATTTGCAAACCAAGCACGCGTTCAACCACAGCGACAAACATGCATTATTGCGTCCGTTGCTTTCCCTTGGCATCGTATCAACCACGATGTTTGATTGGGCGCACATAGTGTTCATTTTTGGGGACGCGTCGGGGCTTAAATGGCCCAGCTTTTGCACGTGCTGGGCAAACGTAGCTTGGGTCGTGCGCAACTGGGCGCATATCTGCGCTCCTTCCAGTGGCCTCGGGCGTACGCTTCTGGGGTGGACTTGTTTCTGTTCAGGCGGCAGTCTTGGAGGGTCAGCGTCCGAGATGTTGTCGGCAACGCCACTCGCGCTGCAATACCTCCGTGGCGTTGCGGTGCCTACTGGCCACTGCGCCCAGGAAGTTGCCAGTTGCATGTGTTTGTGCGAATTGGCGATGGTGTTATCTGTTGCCAACCAAGGCGTGGCGCCGAGACAATTAGAGGACGCGGTACTTCGTTTCTTGCGCGCGCACTACGCGGCCGATGGTAATTCGCTGGCCATGCCTAAGCATCACCATCTCGCGCGCCTGCCCCAACATGCTGCGGCACCTCTTTGGAGGCTAAGCGCGTTTGTCCAAGAGCGGAAGCACCGAATCTTGAGACGGACGCGCACCCCAAAGCACAACGCGACGTCATTTTCCAAAGGTGTCTTGGAAGACATCACGTGCCATCACTTGTCCGACGTACAAGGGCCTATGCCTTGCTGTTCCCTGAGAGTTCCTGTTCCCGCGCCTGCTCGCATGAAGGCTGCCGTGAAAGAACCGATCATTGGCGCGAATGACATTGTGACATCGACGACGTGCGACGTCAACCATAGGGCGGCGTGCAAAGGAGACGTAGTCATGCTCAACGATCGCGGCGTTGCTGAGGTGCGGTGTCGCACTCAGCTTGATGGATATTGCCGGTCGTGCGTCAGCCCTTGGAGAAGGGCATCCCAAACGCGAACCGAAGGGTCATGTGTGAAAGCTAGCGAACCCATGCTTGTTCAGAGCAGCGGATTAAATGTGATCTTGATTTGTTTCGAATGCCAAAGACGGCGAGGTGTCGCCTGTTGTGTGTCCGTCCGCTGCACATGTGTGACTTTGTCTGCGTGTCAGGACGTGATAACTCACGCAACGTCCAGTTCAACCTCCCCCACCCCCTCCCTGCCCATGCCGCCGAATCGGCATCCCTCCGCTTTGTTCTCTGGGGAAGGGGGCGTGGGGGAGGGGGGGGGGGGGGCACGGGGCAGGCGCCGCAGACTTGTGGGCAAATACATACAACATATGGAATCAACGCTGAAACACCATATAAAAAACAACGCGCGCCCGAACAAACAGCACATGCAGAACAAGAAATGCTATTCCACCCACGACATGCGTCTTGACGTGCCACGTTTTCGCGTCGCGCGCATTCGCGGGGGTTGGGAGCACCTACTGCGGCGCGATCATGCTCCTACCGCAGCGGCCGGCGACGCCGAGGGGTTGGGCGATTTTGGGGCGGGGGGGCGCGCGCGTGCGCGCAGCCCGTGAATGAGTTAATGTCTGCTTGGAAGTAAGTTAACATTCAGTTTCTAAGTGGGTTAGCGGAAACATGCTAAGTATGTTAAAACGATTAGCTAATTAGATAGATGGGTTCGACGAAGGAGAGAAACTCCAACTTCATACCGCGCTAACCGAACGCTAAGCACCGCGGTGAGCGCAGCAGGGCGACGCGCAGAAAGGGGGGGGCGGCGCGCGCGGCTTGGGTGGGCGGGGCGAGCCAAGGGTGGGGGAGCCAGAGCCGCCGCCCGCGGGGAGAGCGGCAAGTGACGCCCGTGGCTGGGCCAGGCGGGGCTGGAGCTGCAGCCTGCGCAGAGGGAAACCACCGGGGCTGCCGCGCGGCCGGCAAAGGCGGCCGTGGACGCAGGGGCCAGCAGGCGGGGCCGCAGCGGGACTCGCTGGGGCCGAGGGCGCCAAAGAGGGCAGCGGCTGCTGGCCCCTGCGTCGGCGGCCGCCGACGCAGGGGCCAGCAGGCGGCGCCCAGCGGCTGGGAAAACGGTGGCTGGGGACTGCGGCCCCCGCGGCCCGAGTTCACTGGGCGGGCCAACGTGGGGCGTCTAGCCGGCGCGGGCAGATGCGGGGCGAAATTGGTGGAAGCAGCAGCGGAGGAAAGCGGCGTCATGCGGCGTCATGCCAGCTGGGGTCGCGGGTGCCGCCGCCGCGCAAGGCGCAATATCGGCTCCAGGCAGCGCTGGGCTTGCCGCCAATATGCTGCGCCCCCCTGATCTGCTGGGCCGCCGACGTTTCGTTTCAAATGCGGAAATCGAGCAGGACGTTCGCTGGGGCGTCTTCAGGACGCGCACGCCCCGTGCCTGGCTTCCTGTAGCCTAAGGTGAGAGACCCCCAACGGGCGCGGGTGTCTGGCGATGCGGCCCAGGTGCCTTTGACGAGGGACAAGAACTCATGCCGTGCGGGCGAAGGTGCATCCCCTTGCTGACTGGGGCTGGGGCGGTCCTTGGCGCCGGAGCCACTGGCGTCCGTCGTCGCGGGGGCATGGCGACGAGCCACCTGAGTGGGCGATGGGTCCCTTTTCTGTTGGAGGTGACTCGGTCGCCCGCAGCCGCCGCGGCCCTGGCGGACTGTAAGGAAGTTCACCAGGCACCGCCCCGAGTGAATTGTGCTGCCGGGTGCGGCTGCTTCCTGGCGGTGTCCTGATGGCGCCAACGTGCTGTCCCGATTGTGTCCACGTGGTGTCCAAATGGTGCTCAGAGGATGTCCCGATGGTGTCAACGCGCTGTCCCGGCGGTGTCCACATGGCGTCCACATGGTGCTCAGCTGGTGGCCCGATGGCGTCGTCAAACTGCCCCTGCAGAGCCTCCAAATGCTCCTCCCGATGGTGTTCCGAAGAGGCCCCGATGGAATCCCGATGGTGCACCATTGGTGCCGCAGGATTGTTCTGCTGGGTTCCACCTTCCAACCGTGGCGACGAGGGACAGGGGCAGGCGTCGGGGTCGCCGTCTTGGGCAGAAACTGTCGCGGGTCCGCCGTCCCTTAGAGTGCACCGACCTGGCGCGTGCTCGGGGTCAGCGAGCTGGGTTTGTATCCTCCCCGCGGCCGTCGCCACGCCTGGGAGAGAGACGGCCCCCCTGCCAGGGAGGACAAGGTGGGCCGTTATTCTCCCTTCCGCCTCGGGCCTGGGGTCGCACCGACCTGGTGCGGGGTCAATGGGCTGCGGCGGAGTCCTCCCGCGGGGTCGCACCGAACAGGCGCATCAAGTGTACAAAGCAGTGCAGTTGGGTAACGTTCGCATGCCGTCATCGTCCTCATATATTAATTGCCAGCGGGGTCGCACCGAATTGGTACATGAGTGGGGAGTTCTCCTTCATCACTCCTCATCCTGACGGTGTCGATGTTGCATGGTCAATTGTGAAGATCCGGCCCTCCCTGTCGACCTCATTCCTGCAGATAACACCGTCCCTCTCGACCTCCTCCTTGCCCTGGGGGTCGCACAGAACAGGTGCATCACTTGTAGAAAGCTGTGGTGATGGGCACTGCTTGCTTTCCGTCATCGTCCCCATATATTCATTGCCAAGGGGGTCGCGCCGAGCTGGTGCTTGGTCAATCTGGTAACGGGGAGCCCACCCTGCAGCCGGCGGAGTACCCCGTAATGGGGAGTCCGCGGCGCAGGAGGGCGTCGATTAGCCTGCGGGGGAAGTTCTCCGTCCTCACTCCTGGTCCTGACGGCGTCGATGGGGTCGCACCGAATCGGTGCATGGTCAACTGTGAAGATAACACCGTCCCTCCCTACCTCTTCCCTGGGGTCGCACCGAACTGGTGCATGGTCAATGGTTCGATTCACAGCCCCTCCATGTGTCCAGAGGAGTCTCCAGAGGGGAAGACTCCTCGGCGAACGGAGGGCGTTCGTAAACCTAAAAGTGCTCGGCTTCGGCACTGCCAGTGGAGCCGTACCGAACTGGTGCATGTTCAATTGTGGTCACACCCGTACTCTCGACACACACGCACACACGCACACACAACACAAACACACAAACACATCACATACACCACACACAACACAACACAACACAAACAACACACACACACACCCACACACAACGTACACACTCACCCACCCAAAGACACACACACAGCATACACTTAACACAAATAACGCGCGGAACACACATAATATACAAATAGCTTGCACATAGCACACACAACACACAACACACTCACACATCACACAACACACAACACAACACACACACACTCACACATATTGCACATGTGTCTGTATGCGCCTGGGCATGCATGTGCCACTTGCATGTATATGTGTGTAGACCTATATATATATGTACACATGTACACACACACACTTTGCCGGGGAGCGCTGCACCACCGGCAACAACCATTTGCGTATACTCCCTCCACGCATCCAAAGAGGACGCCGACCATGCACCAGCATCAATCCTGGCCAGGCCCATCCTGGGCCCAGGGGTGGCCTGCCTGGGATTGAGGTCTCCTGACCGATCGACGGATCAATGGCTCCGCGCAGTCTCTGGGGGGCTGCGGCTCGGCCACCTGAAAATCAACCATGGCTTCACCCGTCTGGGGGATGCTGTCAGAGCTCCAGCGGCTGACCACAAAACGCCGAAGCTGGATCAAAGTCCCTGGCCTGGCCTTGACCGACAGCCTGGTGACGTGGATCGAGCCCCGATCGACAGATCAATCCTGTAAGGCCGTCGCGTCCGCGTCCCGGATTTTCCGCTTGGCCTCGACACGCTTCACGGCCCTGACCCTCCTGCTCTCCGCCCTCCCGGAACTGCGATTCGGCTGTAATCAAGCTCGGCCGCGGGGTATCTTTCGAGTCTTCCTCCCCTCCATAGCGGCTGCCTGGTCCACACCTTGGGCCTGCCTGCTGAAGACCACCACGCTCTTCTGCCCCAACCCTCCTGCACAAACGCGTTGACCTCCCACCTGGGGGTGTCGGTGGGGCCAGGAGACCCAGGAGGGGCCTCCAGCGTCAAATTGTCGCCTGAGATGGGGCAAGGGGTGCCGTTCAAAGGCAAGCGCGCCTGGGGACTATCGGGATCTTGGCGAGTTGAACACGCGGGCGGCAGAGTAGCCCAGCCAAGGAGGTTTGCTCGTGAAGAAAGCTGCCGAAGGTCAGGAGGTGACCCGAATACCAGGACCCAATGGAGAAAACTCAGGAACTCACCAGGGTTGAAATCGGCAGCGAGAGAGAGAGGGAGAGACACAGACAGAGAGAGAGAGGTGTCAAAGAGGTCTCAGCGCCGACGGACTGTCAAAACGGTGAACGGACTGGCCATCCAGAGTGACACGAAGCCTACACGGCCAGAGGACGAGACGCAGCCCAAAACATTCGACGGACAACGTCCAAGACCATCCACTCGGACCGTCAGGGAATCTCAGCTATGCAGCTGAGGGCGCGTCCACAAGCACCGTCCCCAGCGGACAAGGGCTGTCCGAGAGAACGTTGAAACCCAGATGGGACGACGACCCAAAAACATCCACCCCCCAACGGCGTATGCCCGCATGCTCAAACATATCGCAAGACCAAGTCGATACAGCCGGCTGACAGCGACCCAAGCCGGGGCAGGCGCTGCGACGCGCCTTGTCTGGATGCTGCTTCTGGTACTCCTCACGGCGTGCAGGGGACGCAGGGGGGTGCTATGGCGAGGCCGATTGAAGAGACAGGGCTGGGCAAATACAGGGAGACATCGGAATAATAAACTATTACCAGCACATCGCCCTTGCAGCCTGCGACGATTAACATAGCGGCCGTCTATGATGTAAGCACCGCCGTTTCCGACGCCAAACGTGTGCGTACGAATTCGCTCATCCACTTGCAACGGATCATGTCGGAGCGCGGCTCGTGAACATGTTCAACTTCGCTGACCATGTGGAGCCAACTGTGCAGCCTCCAGAGTATGGGAAAGTGTTGGTTGTCAGGCTGGAGCCGCCATGTGCGCGCGCTAACACACACCGTTGGCAAACGCGCATATCAAGTTTCATGTAACGCTCGCGCTGGTGTCCACCAACGCTTTTGTTGTCAAGTACTGGCTTGGACTAGGGCGAGCTTTCGGGACTCAATTAACTCAATCGGTTTTCGATGGTTTTCACTATCAGCACCATCACCATCACCACCATCATCACCGGTAACAGCATCACCATCGTCACCGTCGTCGCCATCATCATCGCATCGTCGTCTTCTTCATCAACATTGCCATCGACATCTCATGGTCGTCGCCACCCCCGCCATGATCATCATCATCATTATCCTCGTCGCCGTCGTCATGCAGGATCCGATGTTTTGATAAGCAATGGGGTCCAGGGCCTACTCGGCCAGGCCTACGCGGTCTGGCCAGAAGCAGGGGCGGCACGCTGCAGCGCGCGGTCAGCGCGCGACACTTCGGAACGCACCTCCGCCAAGTCAGGGGCGCCGAGGGGACCTCGGCCAAGCGCTGGGCCGCGGCGCAGTTCACGACGCGGAAGAACTCCGCGGGGCCAGGCGTGGAGTCGATCTCGCGCGCCCAGACCTCCCGGAACGCGTCGGAACGAAGCGCGGCGGCGATCTGCAGCCGCAAGTCATCGGCGTCGTCGGTCTTCGCTGTTGCAGCACATCAATCGAAAGTGTGCCGGCACTCCTCGCGGCGGAGCACGCTGTGGTTCAGGGCGGACAGGCTCCCCGCGTAGAAGGGTTGGAAGAGGGTGATTTGCCCATGACCTTCCACCTCCACTTCCACGGGGAGTGCGCCGAAAAAACGTCGCGGCCGCGCGCAGCAAGGAGCAGCCGCCGTCTGCGCGCCGACCATCGCCCCGCGCGCCTGGTTTCACGAGCTGGACCGACGCGCGCGCGAGCGCGTTGTCCGCGAAGTCCTCCTCCAGGATATGCCCCCAATTCGTCTCATAGATATATGATGGCGCATTGTCGGAGCGGGCCGCCTCGCGCATATCGCAGCCCAGCTGTTGCAGCCGACGGGTTGCTTAGCCCGTGGCGTTCGCGCGAGAGCGGCGAAGCGCTCCGGCGGAAACAGCAGCAAGTTCGCGCCCCTGTTCGGGGCGCGGCGCGCGGGGGGTTCTCTTTGCCGACGATGCTTGCAATCTTGGTTTGGACACCTAATGCCGCCGCCTTCCCCCGGACTCAGTGAACGCGGGTTGCCCCCGTCTCCGGGCGGCGCTTGGCCATGGTGCCCCAGCTGGGGCATGTCTGCAAAAAGCGGGGCAAATCTGGGTCGAGGCCCCCCTCCGCTATTGTTCCGACGCCGTTCTTGCCGGGCTGCTTCTTCAGGCGGGCGCGCAGCTTCACCTGGCCGGGCAACTGCAGGAAGCAATGGGATTTCGCCTCGGCGACGTCCATTCTCGCGGGCGGCAGACACGCCAACAACTGGTCGACGAGACCTCTAGGGCAGCTGTCACCCGCGCCCCCTCTCTCTCTCTCTCTCTCTCTCTCTCTCTCTCTCTCTCTCTCTCTCTCTCTCTCTCTCGCCGCCTGGTGGCCCCGAGATCTTCGCCATGGCGCCCGCGAAGTCTCTGCCGCTCGCAGCGGAGAGGGGCGGCCGGCGCGCGCGTAACTCCGGGATCAGGCACCCGAAGGGCCGCGTGTTCAGATCTTCTTGAAAACGCTGGTTCCCTAGGATGACGTCGGGGGGCCCGCGGCGGGGCGCGCGCGCTGATCTCGTCGTCGCTGGCGCGCAGCTTCTCCTGCAACCCGGCGCGGGGGGTCGCGCTCTCCGCGCAGCCGAAATCGCTGATGACCACCTGCGGAAGAGGTGGGGCGGACGGAGGAATGGGGGGCGACGAAGACCCCCGCGGGGGAAATGCGAATGTTTCGGCTGGGCAGCGACCACCGGCACTGACATCCCATGATAGATCTCGAGTTTAGCTCCAACATCTCATGATCGATCTCGAGTTGAGCTCTAACATCCCCTGTTAGATCACGGTTTGAGCTCTAAGATGTCACGTTCGATTTCAACCTCAGCACTAACATTCCATTATGCATCTCGCTTTGAGCTCCAACATCCCATGGCCGATCTCGACGTGAGCTCCAACATCCCATGGGGGATCTCAGTTTGAGCTCTAACATCCCACGTTCGCTCTCGATTTGAGCTCTAACATCACATGCGGGATCTAAGTTTGAGCTCTAACATCCCATAGTAAATCTTGATTTGAACTCTAGTATCCCGTGTTAGATGTTGATCAGAGTTCAAACATCCCATTTCATATCAACTGAATTCGAAAATCCCATGTTGGATCTCGCCTGTGCTCTGACGACCCATGTTTCGACTCGATGAGTTCTACCAGCACAGGTTAGACCTCGATCTGGGCTCTAACACCCCATGTTAGAACTCGATTGAGTTCCAAGATGCATTGATTGGTCCCGCTTTGAGCTCAGGCATTCCATGTTAGATCTCACTTTGAGCTCCAACATCCCATGCCATATCTCAGTGTGAGCTCGCACCGCCCATGCTAGATCTTGAATTGTGCCCTTACATTTTGAGCTCGAACATCCCTTGACATATCTCGGGAAGGACTCGAACATGCCATGTTAGATCGCGATTGGAGCTCTAACATCCCATGTTAGATCTCGATGTGAGCTCCAAGATCCGATGTTCGGTCTCGATTTGATCTCTAACATCCCATGTTGGAACTCGAATTAAGAGCTAGCACCACCTGATCTCGGTTTGAGCTCCAACACCCCAAGTTCGACTTCTCTTTGAACTCTCGCATCCCATGTTCGATCTCGGCTTGAGCTCTAAAACCCCAAGTTAAATCTCACTTTGACCTCTAACATCTGATGGGCGATCCCACTTTTGGCTCTCGCACCCATGTAAGATCTGGATTTGAGCTCTAACGCCCCAGGGTCTCGATTTGAGCTCCAAGACCCCACGTTCGATGTCCATGTGAGCTCGAATACCATGTCAGATCTCGATGTGAGCTCTCAAATCCCATGTGCGACCTCAGCTTGCGCTCTAACTTCCCACGTTCGGCCGTTGTGCGATCTCAGTTTGAGCTCTAACTTCCCACGTTCGACCTTACTTTGCGCTCTAACATGCGATGTTCGATCTCGGTTTGCGCTCTGTCATTCCACGGTGCCGGGTATCGACCATCCCATGTCAGATCTCGATATGGGCTCTAGCATCCCATGTCTGGTCCCAACGAGGGCTGCAACATCCCGTGTAAGATCTCGAATTGAGCTCTTACATCACAGAACCTCGACTTGAGCTCGAACGTCCCATGTTCGATCTCGACTCGGGCTCAAACATCCCATGTTCGGGTTCGACGTGAGCTCTGGCATCCCATGTTAGATCTCGATTTGGGCCCCAGCACCCCGCGCTAGATCTCAAGCTGAGCGCTGCCATCCCATGTCCGATCTCAGTTTGGGCGGTAACATCTCATGCTCCCGAATTGAGCTATCTCATGCCACGTTAATTTCAATTTTAGCGCTACCACCCCGAGTAAAATCTCGATTTGAGCTCCAACCGCCCACGATCTCGATTGGAGCTCTAACATCTCACGTTAGATCTCGATTCGAGCTCTAGCATCTCTAACATTCCATGGTGCATCTCAATTTGAGCTCTACCACCCCGTGATCTCGATTTGATCTCTAATACCCCACGTTAGATCCTGATTTGAGCTCCAACCCCCCATGTTCGATCTCGCTTTGGGCTCTGACACTCCATGTTAGACCTCGGCTAGAGCTAGAACATCATATGTTAGATGTCAAGTTCAGCTCTACCATCCCAGGTTCGATTTCGGTTTGAGCTCTAACATCACGTGGTCTCGGTGAACAGCTCTATCATCCAATTCTAGATCCCAGTTTGAGCTATATGATCCCGTCTTCGATCTCGATTTGAGCACTAACAGCCCATGCTATTTCGATTTGAGCTCTACCTTCCCATGCGAGATCTCAACCTGAGCTCTAACATATGATGCTCTAGCTCGAATTGAACTCTCTAGCATGTTATGATCCCGGTTTGAACTCTCGCATCCCATGGTCGATCTCGGATTAAGTTCAAAATGCCCCACGTTCGATCTCACATCGACGCGGGGTCGCAATGCCCCATCGGATCGGAGCGCGTAGCCGGGATTACGGTCGCCATGCGGGACGCCCCGATACATGCGATTCTCTTCGCCCAGCTGCGCGCGCATGAAATCGATGCGTTGCAAACGGCGGTGGACTTCGCGAGCTGCCGCAGTATCTGGAACGCCGTTGCGGAGCTCGTCCAGGGCCCTCCCCCGCTGATAGCGCAAGCCCTTGCGATAGCTGTTGAGGCAGAAGTAGTTGCCAACCTGGGGGCTAGCCAAACCCGGGGGAGCTTTGGCCCACTGTTTCGGGCGCCCTCCTCCTCCTCCTCCTCCCCCCCGCCCTCCTCCTCCTCGCTCTCCTCAATATCCTTCTTCCTTCTCTCCTCCGCCTCCTCCTCGCCCGCTCGCCCCCCCCCTCGCTGCCCCCCCTTTTTTTTTTTTCTCTCTCTCTCTCTCTCTCTATCTCTCTCTCTCTCTCTCTCTCCCTCTTTTTTTCGTTTTCCTCTCTCTCTCTCTCTCTCTCTCTCTCTCTCTCTCCCTCTTTTTTTTTTTCTCTCTCTCTCTCTCTCTCTCTCCCCTCTCTCTCTCTCTCTCTTCTCCTTTCTCCCTTT